CTGTGAAGTTTGAAGAGCAAGATGACTTTGAGTCAGAGAAGTAAGTTCACTTTCGAACCATGTATTTATTTTACCAAAATAAAACTCATAATTTTCTCCAAATTAGAAGCAAATAATCATTACTTTCCCATGTTTGATGATAGCAGCTTTTGATGATAAAAGTGACATTGTTAAATATAAGATCATTATTTATTATTATTATTATTTATATAGTTATATATATTTATTATTATACCTTATAATCAGGAAATCTTGATATAAATGTATATAAAATATCTATTAAAATGGTAATATGGGTAATTTGGAGGGTGGTCCATTTATTTAGCCTATAATTGAGGAAATTGTTTGCAATTCTTTCCGTGAGCCAAATTGTGACTCTGGTGACTCTGTGTTTTGTTCATTTGTCAGGCTTTGGCAACAAGTGACAAAAGCAATAAATAATAAAGACCAAACAGAAGCTACTCAGGAGAAGTATATTCTGGAAGAAGCTCAGAGAAAGAGTGCCAAAGAGAGGAAACTTAAGGGTGAAGAGTGGACATGCAAGCTGTTCGATCAGGATTCAGTCACAGGAGAATGGCACTACAAATATGCTGAGTGAGTCCTGGAGTGCTTGGTAATGTTGCTGAGCCTCTTCCTGTGGTTTCAGCAACAAAAGAACTAATACATATAGCTTATTTACATATGGTGATATAGCCTTGCTGTGTTACAGATTTTTTGGGGGCATGGGAATTTGGGGTGCATTGTCCTCCATTTTTTCCCCCTAGACTGACCACAAAATCTACATAGATTTTCCCAAACTGGAAAATATGATACATATGGGCACACAATCAGAAAATCTAGTGTTTGAAAATCAGAGACGCCTGTGCTTAGCTGGATTGAGCCATTTAACTTGCTATATATTAGAATAATTCTGAGAATAGCAGGTTGGCAGCAATAATTAATGCTGGGATCAGGTAGCTCTGCCTGACTGTCAAATATGTCCTGCCCAAGAGTGTCTGTGAATCTCTTTGTGTAATGCTGTGAGTCAGAAGCTAAAGATGTAGCTGTGTCCCTGACTCCTGGAAGGATGCATTCTGTGTCCTCACCAATGTTTCAAAAGTCAACTTGAAGCTGAGCCCTTCACTAATAATGGTTTTCACAGAGCACCCATGTTCTGCTAAGGTTTTTTTTCAGTACTCAGCTTGCTTCTGTATTGTAGGATTTGTAAAAGTAAAATAGCCCAAGATGATACATACAAAGTTAAGTAACTTTGAGCCCGTGGATGCTGGAAGCATGTTTCCATGGCTAAACCTGGGAGGCCTTT